CCGGACGGTTTTCCAGAATATCTAAGAGGCTGACAGATAGTCATGCTCCATGGACTCTCCAAACTCCTCCCAGTCCCGAGTTTTTGCTTCTGCAGCAGCCCGGGTAGCGGCACGCTTGGCCTGCTGGTACTGGACAGCTGTTTAACAATTGGGACACATCCTGAATTTAAAGATGCATTAATTCTTAAACATGAAAAGTTAATCATGGACAAGTTTTTTCAGACTTCAGATTTCAGATTTATGAAGCTGCTCTTTAATAAACTGAACTCTCACTGTGTCCTGTGTCATCAGAGCTGTCCTGTTTGTCCTGGTCTCTCTCTAAATGTTTTTTTTTTTCACATGAAAAACAAACTGTTGCAGCTCTTTTGAAATGTTTTGTTTTTGAACGGGTCACAGTCCAATGAGTGGGGACAGACGCCACTTCTAATTGGCTCTCGGTAACTTGGCCGTTGCTACAACAACATGTGCATAAACTTGGCCCCACATTCTGCTCGAAAAGCTCTTATCAGCTTCTTCCACGTTAAAACTCCATTTCTAATATATAGTCTTCAGCCCAGTTTCTACTGGCTCGGCTCTCTCTCCCCAAAAGAAAGTGTTTCCACTGGTCCTGTGTAACCAGTACCAGGTCTATGGCGTCAAAATAGGGTCTGCTTAAACGTAATCGTAAAGCAGGAATTGTAAACGTAGGTTGTAAGTATTGTAAACATAAAAATATATTGTAAACGAAAAAAACTGTATTAAACGTAACATTTACACGTACGCTTCATATTTTTCATGTTTCGCTTCAAAAGTTACGTTTACGTTTCATAAGCTACATTTATGATTAACAAGCTACATTTACAATTCACAAGCTACGTTTACCAGTGAAAACTTACGCTTACGATACATTTTTCATCTGACCCCTTTTTGGAGGGGCGGCCTCAGTGCACCCATTGGCTGGAGAGACCGGATGTTACGTCATCACAAAAGCAAAACACACACCATTCAAAATTCAAGTCTCGTTCGAACTCTCTACATCGCAGAGCTCCTAAAGGGAGGTGACTTTCTGCGCTGGAGGAGTTCTCTGTGGAGCAGAGAGAAGGATCTATTGCTTTGCGGCATTCTGTTTGAATGGCCTCCTCCTCGGGAGGTGGTATTAGTAGCGGTAGTTTTGAAGGGAATAGGAGCAGGGTAGTGGCCAAAAAGCGTGATAGATCTAATTCCTCAACTGGGAAAGAGGGAAACCCATCCATCCATCCATTTTCTTCCCCTTAATCCATTTCTGGTCGGGGGGTGGCAGTCAGAGCTGCACCCAGTCCACAGAGCACCAGCCCCTCACTGATCCTCCTGCAGGTGGTGAGTCCACAGGAGCTGAGATCTTTCAGTGGGGGCTTCAGGCAAAGTGGGGTTAAGTGTCTTGCCCAAGGACACAACAACAGCAGTCATCAGTGGGAGTCGTGAAGTAGGTCTTATGGTGGGCTCGAACCCACGACCTTCAGGCCTAAAGGCCAGTGCTCTACCAACTGAGCTACTCTCGCCCCGGAAAGAGGGAAACCAGGAAGTGAAAATGTCTAAAGTTACGGAAGAATATAAAGTTGTGATTAAAATTAGAGATCAAACTGCGGACGGTTTCAGAGGGGTAAACCCTATAAGAGTTGCCGAGTCATTAAAACCTTTCGGTGAGGGCCTGGATGCTCGTGTCCTGTCAAACGGGGCGCTTCTCGTGTTTTGCAAGAGTAAAGAGCAAGCAAATTAATTGAGCAAAGTCGGGAAGATTGCTGGCAAAAAAGTAATTGCCTCGATCAGTGAAAAAAGAGAAATGGAGCAAGGTATAATCTATGGCGTTTGCGATGACATTTCGAAGTCGGAAATCAAGGATAATCTCAGGGGCGGGAGTGTTAGTGAGTTTAAGCGATTTATGGCCCGTGAAGGTTGGAACCCCAATGCCCCTGTCCTGATCTCATTCTGTAAGACTATTTTGCCAGAGCGAGTATTTATAGGGTGTTTGTCTTTTCCAGTTAAAGTATATCAGAGACCCCCAATGCGATGCTTCAAGTGCCAGCGCTTTGGACACATGGCTGCTTCATGTAAAGGGAGCAGGCGGTGTGGAAAGTGTGGAGAAGGACATGATATTGGAGAGAAAAAAGTGCGTCACTATCAACGGCTGTACACACGAAATTACATACAGCGGTAGCTAATCAGAAATAGCACAAACTTAACACTTCACACTTAACACTTTTGTGGTCCGAACATTGTGCTTGTGAAATTAAATAATACTTACAAAGACAAAAGTTTGCCAAGGCTCAACACAAGAATCTTTCCAGTATAATTGGTTTAGAGGAAGCGAGAGCCTTGCATAGTATTTTTGTGTCACAGCCCATCAAACTTATTGGCCTGTATGAGGAACACTCTGTTGGAGGTTTATTAGGTTTTAAGATCAAAGTGATCAAAGCAAGTCTTAATGTAGGTGGTAGGGTTCCTTCGTTGAATGCCTCTTGATACATATCCATTAACGGAGTTAACAACTGTTTCTGAAATGCCTTATATTTCCTCGTTCATGGGAAATAATTGCAATCCCCAATCCCTATCACGAGTGGGGTTTAGCGGGTTACCCAGGCCTCTCGGCCAAGGGTAGGCACATGCTGATCCACTCAGTGTGGCGTGCGTGCAGCCCTGGACATCTAAGGGCATCACAGACCTGTTATTGCTCAATCTCGTGTGGCTGAACACCACTTGTCCCTCTAAGAAGTTGGACGACGACCGCACGGGGCCGCGTAACTAGTTAGCATGCCGGAGTCTCGTTCGTTATCGGAATTAACCAGACAAATCGCTCCACCAACTAAGAACGGCCATGCACCACCACCCACAGAATCGAGAAAGAGCTATCAATCTGTCAATCCTTTCCGTATCCGGGCCGGGTGAGGTTTCCCGTGTTGAGTCAAATTAAGCCGCAGGCTCCACTCCTGGTGGTGCCCTTCCGTCAATTCCTTCAAGTTTCAGCTTTGCAACCATACTCCCCCCGGAACCCAAAGACTTTGGTTTCCCGGACGCTGCCCGGCGGGTCATGGGAATAACGCCGCCGGATCGCTAGTTGGCATCGTTTATGGTCGGAACTACGACGATATCTGATCGTCTTTGAACCTCCAACTTTCGTTCTTGATTAATGAAAACATTCTTGGCAAATGCTTTCGCTTTCGTCCGTTAACTCTATAGTCAATCCATCAGGTCCAGGAGCTTTATTAGTATTAATACTATTAACAGCCGCAGAGATTTCTTCTACTGTTAAATTACTATCCAAGTCTAATTTAGCATCTTCTGACAGAACCGGAAAATCAAGAGCATTGAGAAAAACATCTCTCCCATGCGATGTTGGGGGAATCTCAGATTTGTATAAGCGCTCATAAAATTCTCTAAAACTATTATTAATCTCTTGAGGGTCAAAAGTCAAATTTCCATCCATCATTTTAATACAATGAATTGCCCGTTCTGTCTTTAATTTCTTTATTCTCCACGCCAAAAGCTTCCCTGCCTTTTCTCCTTGATCATAATAGTTTTGCCTTAACCATAGTAAGCTGTTTACGGCTTTATCTGTTGACAATTTATTATACTTAGACCTTAAAAGAAGCAGTTGTTCTTGTTTACTTAAATCATCTTTCTGTTCCAAGTCATTTGTTTCTCCAAATCAAATAGTTGTGCTTTTTGTTGTTTAGATTTATTGGATGTATAGCTGATAATCTCACCTCTAATGTAGGCCTTAAAAGCTTCCCATCTTGTACAAGCTCCAGTTTGATCTGTATTTAATTCAAAATACAGATCAATTCTATTTTCTATAAATGAAACAAAGTCTTCATTTTGTAGCCAAACAGGTTTAAAACGCCAATTAGAGGGGCAGTGGAAAAGTTTGTCTAAATGACCAACAGCCTTTCACCTTAGACAATAGGTTTTGAGAGACAAAGAAAAAATCAATACGTGATCGTGACTTTTGGAAACCTGAAAAACATGAAAATTCCAATTTAGTTGGGTTTAAATGCCTCCAAATTTCTCTCCTTGTTCTTGGGTCAGAGCCTGTAGTACGGTCTAATAAAGGATTTAAGGTGCAATTAAAGTCCCCTCCAATGATAAAGAATCCTTGTAAAGTTGATAGGGTGAAGAAAAGGTTTTCAAAAAATTTGGGATTGTCCTCATTCAGACCATATACACAAACCAGGTTTAATGTAAGAGAAAAAAATAGTACCCCGGACAATGACATAGCGTCCTGTTGGATCGTGGATGATTTTAGTGACGTGAAATGGTATAGTTCTATGAATTAAAATTATAACACCACGTGAATAATTATAATAATAATAATAATGCATCGGTTTTATATAGCGCTTTTTTGGACACTCAAAGACGCTTCACATGTGTCATTATTCATTCACTCCATACACGGTGGTGATAAACTACTACTGTAGCCACAGCTGCCCTGGGGCACACTAACAGAAGCGAGGCAACCAGTATGCACCATCGGCCCCTCTGACCACCACCAACCATTCACACACACACCAGACTCATTCTAGGCAGTGTGGGTGAAGTGTCTTGCCTAAGGACACAACGGCAGTTTGGCACTTTACAGCTGCAGCCGCCCCACTGTGGCTGGTGTTCCCAGAGGTTAAGTGTCTTGCCAAGGACACAACGACAGCAGACAGTGGGAGTCTATGGTGAAAAATATTTTGAAAAAATAAATAAAATTATGATAATAATAAGGAAAAGATTTATGAAAAAATGATTTTCAATTAATAATGAATACTTCACGTTTCCAAGATACTAAAAATGTTTGGAAGAATACAAAAATAAAAAAATTATTTAGAAAATTTGTGACAAACACGTGAAAAATACAAATAAAATAAAAAAATACATGAAAAAAAATAAATGATAATCTTAATAACTCTGAAAAAGTTAGATTAAAGGCAACATAGTGGAAAGTCTGTTATCTCCATTGAATTATTGCAAGTCTTTCAAGTAAACAAACCTCACCACCACATTCAGATGATTTTCTGGTAGAACTCCTCTGCTTCTCGAGGCGTCGCAAACAGCTGCATTTTGCTCTCGTGCAGGACTCTCATTCTGCATGGGTGAATCTGGAATCCACGATAGAGCCCCTTCTCCACAAACCTCTGCCTTACTGCGTTGAACTCGTTACGTTGGCGCAGAGTCTCCGTTGATAGATCCGAGACAAACAGCAGCTTGTTTCCTTCATGTTGGATGTTGAGTTTCTTTGCAGTGTTTATGACAAACTCCCTGTCTTGAAACTTCAGAAAGCGGATGATCACCCCTCTGTTTTGGCCTGGTTTAGGTTTTGACAGTGTGCGATGTGCACGCTCGAGAGTGAAAGTCTTATCGTGGCAGCCCAACCATCTCGGCAAAAGTTGTTCCACGTATTCCAACAAGGGCTGGTTATTTTCGGCTCTTTCACGTAAAACAAATAGGCGGAGATTCTAACTCGTCAGTCTTCCAAAGTGGAGATGCGTTTTATAGCGCTAGTTAAGTCAGCTTTAGCCACTTCCAGATCATCTTCGAGAGTTGATATGCGCTCTTCAGCCTCAGTGACACGTGTTTTATTAGATTCAACCGTGTTCCTCACCTCAACCATACTCTGCTCCAATGCGCTGATTGAGTTGTTCATATCTCCCAGATGCGAGTTAGTAGTATCAAGCTTGCAACCAAAATCAGCTCGGAGAGCCCTTAGCTCCGTTAGCACATTAGCTATATCTGCCATGCTCTCCGTAGCTTTCTCGTGCTCGTCCTCGCGTTGCGGAGCCTCGATGCTAAGCTGCCATCTTGTTTTGCTGCTCAATAGCGCCCCTTGAGGCCATTTTTAGTAAAGAGAAGGCTGATATGTGTGTGAGGGTGTTTCAAGAAGTGCATAATTTAAAGCTGCATTAACTGACTTTGGGATTTTGAAGCCGCGGACTCGCTGGCCTCTCTCTTTCTGCTCCCCTCCCCGCACCCACGAAGCTATCGCCCCCCACACACACTCACTGTTGGGACGGAGCTAGCATCTTCCAATATGGATAATACATGGACATGGATTTTCACGTGGATGGTGTGACCATAGAACGATAGAACCGGGAAGCGCGGAGGAACAGGACTTTCTTTTGGATGGCTGTTTCGCTGTGTAAGCAGTAACCGGTGACGAAGACGAGGAAGTTTCAGGTTAGCTCCTCGGCTTGTTGTGCTAACTCAGCCGTCTATGCTAACAGACCTGTAGATTTCTCACGAAAGTGGGGGCTAGTGGTTCGCTGTGATTGGTCACAATCTGCGACCCGAAACACATTCTCTTCCTTGTTTCATCAAAACTCGATCTAAAATATAATGTCACGCCAGCACAAACCTGCGCTACTTTTTCTTCAAAAGGACGTATATCCCAATGCACTACACGGACATGGATAGCATTTTAGTAATTAATACAAAAATAAAGTCAGTTAGTGCAGCTTTAAAGTTGTTAGGGGAAAATAGTCTTAGAATTAGAAAAGAAGTTCTTGAAGAGCATAGTTGGAAGTTAACAGGGGCTGAGGATAATAGTAGCTCATTTAATGTTTATTTTTCTTTTAAGGAGCTGAAGGATGCTATAGAGGCTGGAGCAAACACCACGCCAGGTCGGGATCAGATAAGTTACTCCCTTCTGCAGCATTTGGATGACCCAGTGCTAGAAGAGGTCCTTGTTCTGTTTAATTACATTTGGGAGGCTAGTTCAATTCCAAGGGCTTGGAAACATGCACTGGTGATTCCTATTTTGAAACCAGCAAAGGATCCGTCTTCCCCATTGTCTTACAGACCTATAGCTTTAACTGCAGTGCTTTGTAAGGTGATGGAGAGGATGGTTACAAATAGACTGGTATACTTTCTAGAGGGTAATGATTTTTTTGTGAATTATCAAAATGGGTTTAGAATTGGCAGGAATACTATGGACTCGGTAGCAGTGTTAGATCGAGATATTCGGAGAGCAATAATTAATAAGGAAGCTGTGGTGGCGGTGTTCCTTGATATTGAGAAAGCCTATGACAGCATGTGGAGTTTGCTTTTTAAACTCTTTGATGCAGAATTAGGGGTAGAATGTTCCTTTAGATTAAGAATTTTCTTAATGAGCGAATGATTCAGGTGAGAATAGGTAATGAAATCTCAGAGACAGCAAGTATTTTGAATGGCACGCCTCAAGGCTCAGTAATTAGTCCTGTGTTATTTAATGTAATGTTAAATGATATTTTTAAAAGTGTTAGTGCAGGGTTCGGAAAATATCTTTTTGCGGACGATGGAGCCATTTGGCACAAAGGCAAAAATATTGAATTTTTAATTAGGAAAACACAGAGGGCCTTAGGTCAAATAGAACACTGGGCAAACACATGGGGTTTTAAGATTTCCATATCAAAAAGTAACTATACGATTTTTGGTCTTAAAAAGAAAGTTCCTAATCTGAATTTGCAATTATATGGGCAACAATTAGTGAATGTTAATGTGTTCAGATTCCTTGGTATGTGGCTGGATGAAAAGCTAACTTGGAAAATGCACGTTGATAAAACTATTTGTAAATGTGAGAAAGTAATTAATGTTCTGCGCAGTTTGGCGGGCAGTGATTGGGGAGCAGACAGGTCAATGCTGCATATGATTTATAGGGCAATGATAAGGTCAATATTGGATTATGGCTGTTTTGTATTTGGTGGAGCGGCAAAAACTGTCTTAAGGAAGTTGGATGTGGTACAGGCGAAAGCCCTTAGAGTCTGCAGTGGAGCCTTTACAACTACTTTACTGAGCATGCGTCAAGGCTGAGCAGATTGGGAGAACGCCAATCTCAGACAAAACCGCGAAAATACTGTGGTAATTAACTATCTTTTTTGATCTGTAATGACGGCCAATCGAGTATGAATGTTGACTTGATCTGGTGAGAGAGCTGGGATATGTTAAAGAAGAAGCAAACCAGGGCGCAAACAAAGCTAAGTGGACTCGGCCCCGCTGAACAGGTGCCTGGGATTAACATGGAAGCAGGAAAAAATATCAACAAGCAGGAGCTGGCAGAATTAATCCGAACCATAATACGTGAAGAAATCAACGTGGCGGTTGATAAACTCCAACCGCAACTTGATGCCGTTAAAAAAGACATGACTGAGTGTTCCAACAAAGTTGCTGCTATGGAGGAATTGCTGAACCGTATGGAGATCAGAGTTACGGCGCTGGAGTCGGCAAACGAAAGTTTGTGTAAAGAGAACACGGACTTGAAAGAGAAAGCCGATCGCTTGGAGAATCATAGTCGGAAATACAATATCCGTATTCTTGGCTTGACTCGAGATGTTGAGAAGGGAAACCCAACAAGTTTCGTTTCCACTTTGCTGAATGAGATGTTTAAGGGTAAACTTCATCGCGCACCGGAAGTGGAAAATGCCCACCGAGTTGGACCTGTGGCTAAATCTGGACAGCGCGCAATGATTGTAAGGATGCACCGGCTTGGAATAAAAGAAGAGATTCTACGATTAGCCAAGAAAGAAAAGCTGTTTGAGATTCGTGGAATGAAGCTGCGCATTTTCCCCGACTTTACTGCGGAGACGGCGAGGGCCAGGGCGCGTTTCCGTGAGGTGAGGAACAAGCTGTGGAGCGCAGGAGTGAAACACGGGATTATTCATCCAGCTACTTTGATTTTGACTTTTAAAGATGGGACCATGAAGTTTACTGACCACCTAGCTGCAGAGACATTCTACAAGACTGTTGTTGATCCGGAGATGCAAAGCAGGAATGAACACTGATGGCAAAGCACGCAGGTATGGACATTGCGCATGCAACCTATATAGTCTGATTATATTAGGTTGGCTTCTGAAGCTTGAAGTACATGCTTTCAGTATCTTGGTTTAAATCAGTTCAAATGGTATTAGCTACTGAGATTAAGTGGTTGGTTTGATTTATGAATTATGATTTAATAACCACAGAAGTTATGTATAAAATACATAATAGGGTGTTCAACACCCTATTAGTTGTCGTTGACAAATGTTGGCAAAATGGAGGTGCATATGTAGGAATGTGTGTGTATGTGTGTCCTTGTGTGTTGTGTGTGTTTTTTGTCTTTTGTCTTCATTTGATAGCTCTTCAATATGTTTCATTAGAAGTGATCATTCGTGTAAAATAAATAATGGTGATGAATAAAATACTCTCAAATAAAGGATTAAAAATAGCTCATTTGAATATTAGTAGTTTGCGAAATAAGATTCAGGATATTACAGGGATTCTAGGAAATAATTTGCATATTTTGGCAATAACTGAAACACATTTAGATGCGACTATAAACGACTCCCTTTTGCATGTAAATGGTTACCTATTATATAGATGTGACAGAAATATATATGGAGGAGGAGTGGCTTTTTATGTTCAGCATCAAATACCAGTAAAAATTAGACAGGATCTCGGTTGTATTGGGGTTGAAGCGCTGTGGTTGGAAGTGCAGTTACCACACTTGAAGCCTATTCTTGTTGGTTGCTGCTATAGGCCACCCAATGCGCCAATAGTCTATTTAGATCGAATCTGTTATATGTTGGATAAAGCCTGTGATTTAAAGAAGGAGATTTATTTTCTTGGTGACCTAAATATTGATTGGAGTTTGAATAATTGCTCATTAAAAAATAAGTTGCAGTCTATAGCTGACACTTGTAATTTGTCACAAGTGGTCACAAATCCAACAAGAATTATTTATAAAACAGATGGGACAAAAACAGAGACATGCATAGATTTACTTTTTACTAATGCAATAGATTTGTGTTCAAAAGCAATTTCAATTTGTGTTGGCTTCAGTGATCATAATTTAATTGCAATTAATAGAAAAACCAAAGTCCCTAAACCAGGCCAGAAGATAATAATTAAACGGATTTTTAAGTATTTCAATGAGGCTAGTTTTTGTGCCGATATGAGAAATATTGACTGGTCACAAGTATTACGGGAAGTAGATCCTGATTTAGCTTTGGAGGTCTTTACAAATTTATTGACGCCAGTTGTTGACAAACATGCCCCATTAAGACGAATGACAGTGAGAAATATTGCTTCTCCATGGTTAGATGCTGAACTTAAAGAATATATGAGGGAAAGAGATCAATTAAAGTCAGATGCAATCTCTTCAGGGGATAATGCATTATGGGAAAGGTATAAGCAGTTAAGAAATTATTTTACAAAATTAAACAGATCAAAAAAGAGGATTTATTACGAATACAAACTTGAAGAAGTAAAATCAGACAGGAATAAATTATGGAATACATTAAACCAATTAACAGGGCGGAGAGCTAAATCTGTACCAACATTTTTAGATGTGGGTGACACTTTTTTGACTAAACCTGTTGATATAGCAAATTATTTAGGAGATTATTTTATAAAGAAAGTTCAAAATTTACAAAAAGACATGATTTCAAAGTCAAACCATGATTTATCTTTTAAGACAATTAAAAATAAAATTATGCTTAATAAATCATGTACATTTAAACTTAACCGAGTAAGTCTGAAGACGGTAGAAAACATATTAAAGTCAATGAAAGATAAACCTGCAGGTTCTGATGAACTTGATGTCAAGTTATTAAAGATGGTTGCTGATGTAATTAATATGCCTATATGCTATATTATTAATCT